AAAAAAAAAAAAAAAACAGTCGCATTGTACTGTTGACGGGTCAAAAAATGTTACCTCGACTGGTTTGCGTAACTAAGGAAGCGCAGCGCTCCAAATTACCACGTTCTTTCTTCCGTGCCTTTATTAAAATCTTCTTCTTTAGCTGGAATGGCGATGGCAAAGGAATACCTGGTTCCAGCTGCATAAGTTATTTTTTGAATAAAGATTTTAATTGATTAAAATCTTGTTTTCAAGGGTAAAATATAGAAATTTTTTTGAGTAGTTTCGCTGCTACTATAGATTTTTACCCCCTAATAACTGGTGGGTATAGTCAAGCAATGAAAAACTAAATGATCTTGAAACAATTGAAAGCTATTGTCACCGGATGTCCGGGAATTGGCTCTCGTAACAAACTGTCACCAAAGCATTCTGCGAATATTTCTGCCATTTTTCCTTGCTGAGCTAGAAGTGAAGACAGTGGAAAACTGCGCTCATCAAGAAGAGCGAAACCAGTCAAACAAAAAAGTAATCCTAGTAATACCTGAACAACAGTGATTCTCAATTGAAATACAGACAGGAAATTCGGAAGTTTTAAAAGCGCATTCTGCAATAGCCATACATACGTCCTAAAGTGTTGCAATGAGGGAAACGAAAAAAAAGTTTAAATTATATGGCAAAATAATTTGAAATGTCTAACTGCACTGTTAACTGATTAACATACTTTTAATGCAATAGGCTCAATAAAAGTAATTTCGGTTGGCCCATGCGTGACTATCGGCTCACCATCACATCCATCCCAACAGTCTATCTCAACACAGCGGCATCCCGATAGCAGTATCTGAATAATACTTTCAGTCCTTTTCCAAATAAAAGTAATGTTCACAAAAATAAAGGTCTTTTCAAGCACAGTATTTGATACTTGGTCGTATTTAGGAATGAAGACGGTTTTGAGCTCGTGTTAAAATTATTTATACCTGACGATAGATTTCTACATCGGCAGACGTACTTGGGTCAGCACAAAAGTATCGAGCATGCCATATTTGTGCTCCTAAACAGGACAAATGCTAGTTTAATTTCCTGTCTTACTCCAGTTACTTCCACAGTTGATTAAGTATAAATAAACCACCATTGAATAAATTTACCTTTAAGATATGAATTATGCGAACTGTTGATGTAATAGCAAGATAATGGTTCATGCATATTTTCTTCTACAAACCGTAGGCAGTAATTTGTAATTTCAACGTTATCGTCACTCAAAAGGTACCTCACAAAACCTTCATATGTTAGGTAATCTTCTAAAATTTGTAAGATGAATAGAGTAATGCGACTGGACGTTCTTTAGCAACTCATATGTACAAGCTGCTTGAAATAAAAACTAATCATTATTCTGACACCCTGTTATCGAATAAAATTAGTAATTGTAAATTTTCCTGCTACTTATCGTTTATAAATCAAGTTAGCTTTTAAAATCTGCAGGTCAGCAGAGTTTTGTGCACCGAAGTGTGTGTAAAGGCGACGTTTTTTAATTGCTCCTGATGAAGTCGTTTCTATTCGACTAAACCAACACCAGTAAATTTTCCTCGACAGCTTAACAGGTATAATTTTTTTTAAATTTAATCTCTTCCTATTTCTCCTCACTTTAGGGCACTTTGAAAGCTTAGGAGAATTGCAAAGCCATACGATGCTTGCTGTACTTGCTCAGTAGAGTTTTAACTGTATCGCGGTTAGCCATTGGGTACAACACCTCGTTTTGTCTTGGATCCCGCTGTACAAAATTCAGAAATCGTTCAATTTTCTTCACTGACATTATACCGTAAGGTTTGCGAGTTTTATGATCACGAGTTCTGTAGGAAATTAGATATCAGAATGTAAAATTATCCAGAAAAGTCTACAAGCTTTATTCTTACAGTACTGTATATTTTTCAAAAGATTTTAATATAACAGGAATTTCTGTCGACTGTTTAAAAAGAAAGTCAAAGATAATAAAAGATAGAAAATCAAATTTACCTTCTGTTGAATATATGTTTCAAATCTTCCCTCTCAGTAATCGCCATATAGATTTCAAAAATACCTTCAGAGTTTAGTTCAGAGCAGTTAATCCACTAAAAACGTGTTTTAGGATGTGGGTTTCGATAATATAACCAACAGTTCTTTGCTTTACTTGATTTCTTAAAACAATACTGCCCATCAAACATCTAATAATGAAACAAAGGAGCGTTGTTAGATTGCTATTTGTCGTCTATCATTAGAAATAAAAAAATAATTACAATTTGCCAAATGCTAACATTTCGTTTGAGAAATAACCTCGTTTTGCTAAGGGAATGGAGAACACGATTATAGCCAGAAGTGTTCTGCTCAGATGGCACCACAACTCGTGCTATGCTAAAGATGTAGCAGAAATCTTTATTTGCTTTTCAGTGAGTACAATTCAACTGTGTCTGGTTTCAATGTTACTGGGCTAAGTGTTTCATGAAACAATTTTGAAATAAAAAGGAAGCTACTTCAGCGCTTTTTACTCTTTAATATGTACTAAATGATAAAATTTCAAATGAATAAAATGTAGCAAAATTTTTCGAAAAAAGTTAAAAAGGCTTTTAAAAATTTCCGAAAATTTGACATACTTTTCAATTGTAATGTAAGTTAGATTATTTGCGTAACGAAGTGGTGCTAATAACTTCTCCATGTAGTACAAAACTCCTCGTTTTCGTCTTCGAATTTCCAATGATAGTTTGTAAATGTAATCAGCCCATTCATCGGCAACTTCAATCTTAAAGATAACTATTTATAGATACTGAAGCCAGTCTGTATTTATTCAAAGAAACATATTTCATTTATTGCTTACCTCACCCGAGGAAGTCATGAAAGTCAGAAACTCAGGATTTGTGATTGTTGTAGCAACTACGATCGTGATTAGGCAACGTGTAAGACTGTTGTTCTGACCAAACGGAAGAGCTTGCTTTTCCATCATCTTAAAACACTTGTTTTCCAGAAAAAAGGCAAAATTTTTTTGAATTTTGAAATTCTCAGCGTGCCAAATTTAAAGTAACCTTATGAACTACTTAAAGGTGATTTAAAAAACTAAAGACTTTTTGGTAGGTTTATAAAACAGTATAGCTACCTTCTGACTCATATTTAATGGTGAACCGTGATAACTGACAGCGTATTTGCCTTTGCGAACATCGACTACGTCAGATAAATAACGATAGTGATACTCAGAATCCTTAAAAAGCACTGCTAATCAGTTAACGATATGCTATTCTTTCCTTAGTTGCTAATCCACAGTGAAGTTTAACTATATTCTTCAAAAAGCCATATAAGTTTTTTGCTTTGAAAAGAATGACATCATGAGACATTTAGTTCTGAAAATACAAGACTTTTCAAAAGCTAAATGTTTTACGAAACAATCCTCTGTTAATATTATTCAAATTTGAGTAAATTTGTTTCCATTTAGTGATTATAAATTCGCTCATTTTGAATTGCTTTCATTCTGCCTGACAAATATTTGAATAATCAGCCGCTTGCCATTTTGTAAATCAAATCCTCAGACTGCATTTTGTTAGTTTAACAAGAAAGTTTTTAGAGTCTACCAGTAGTTATTCTTCTTAAGCTCACCTTGTTAGAATTAACTTTTAAACTCTGCGAAGTTTTTGCCCTCAGCTAATAAATTCAAAAACATTACTTAATTTTGAAGTTCATCGCCAAAAATCTTCATAAAGTCGTTTAAACACGGTAAAATCTTCCTTACGTCTCTTTAAAAAAAGGTTCTAGCTAACAGCTGAAAAACACGAATTAATCAACTCCTAACGTAACTTTATGCAAAAATTATTTTTATGATTCAACAAGAGTTTGACTTATTCGTTAAGACCTACGCATATGATATACAAAGTGGCCAAAGTCCAACAAAAAAGTCATTGTAACAGACTTCTACTTCTCTACTAATTAAGTGCTCAAAATTATTAATCTGATCTAAAATTGAGTTAATGCAGTAGAAAACGTGCAACTTAAGCTATTTCTGTGTTAGACTCAAAAAATGAAACAGTATCCTGTAAAAGCTGTCATCAGTAGCTGTCACAGAAGTTTTCACACTCAATACACCTTCTTTTTTGAAGCGTTAAATGCGGGTGTCCAATATAAAATGTGTCCGTTTGGGTCAATACGTAACAGGCACGAGTATCCGGGACCTAAACCAGGATCTGAATCTTTCTGAAACAAAATGCAAATTATTACTGATGAGAGCAAAGTTTTTATTGATAATGTTTGATTATTTGGGAAGACTGTTTTTTTTTTTTTACTTTCTTGTACACTGTACAATTTTTTACAGTTTTTGAAAAGAGGACCAAAAAAAACATTTTTACACTGATAATAAACTTACGTCTCTCCATTTCAGGAATCGTTGTCCTTTGCAAAATTTACCGTGTGAATACATCTGAAATTAACGAAATATTAAACCAGGTACACAATGTATTTCATGTAGTAATAGGGTCCTTAACGTACATTTCCAATTATGTACAAAATTGTTTCTTACCTGTGGTAAAGCGGAGAAAAAATAAAGAGAAAAAGCAAAACTTAATGTACAATTTTCTTCTGTGTTTAAGTAAAAGAAGCTATTTCACATATCAGTATTGAAGTTACAACGGCATATAAATCAGAAGCACCAGAAGATAAAATATTCACTGAAGGTTTTCAACTTAAAATACAAAGATTCATCCTTGACGCAGCAAGGAATACTTATATCTCAAATATTTACGACAGTTTTATTCAGTAAATGTGAATACCGCTGAAACACAGTTTGTTGACAACGAGCATATACAACACTTTTTTTGCAGCCAGTTATCAGATTAGTGAACATTGATGAATACTTTTTCAACAGGGAACCATTAAAACGTGTTTAATGCTATAAATATTCATTTTCAAACGTCATTCTGTTTATCGCCTTCAACGAGAAGAAACTTAAACTATTTCCGGTCTATTATATGTAACAAAGTATAAGGAGCAGTTCAGAATTTGTCTGTCTGGAGTATAACATCACTGGAAGTCCACTTCTCAAGCAAAAAAAGTTCTCTCGTCGTTTCAGTCAAGCTAGAGCAGAAAGTTATGAAACTACGAACTGCTTTTTGAAATAAAGAGAGAACAGTAGTGGAATGTTAGAGGCCGAACCCAGCAAAGCTTATTCGTACCCATTAAATTACTAGTGTTATGTAAACATTTCAAAAACTTACTCGTTATCAGCGTTTGTATTTAAAGTTTCACGATAGCTTTTTTATTTGTAAACATTGCTATATGTTCTATTCCACTGATACCTTCAATATATTTCATGCAAGAGTCTTACAACAACTTCATATTTTTTAGTAAGAGTATTTTTGAATTTTTCATAAGGAATAACGTCTTTTAAAAAAGGGCTTTTTCAGGAACTTCCAGAAGTTCATCCAACAGATAGAAAGTGTCTGTCTAAAGTGATCGCTACGCTATAACTAAACACTGGTAATTAGTTGAAAAAATGTAGCAGTTAAACAGGCACATTCCTTAGTATGCATAAGGTTAGCTGACTATATCTGTAAAAAAAATGTGTACGTTTGATCTCTTCCTAAAATTCGTCAGTAAAACCCCTTTAATTGGCTGTTGAAAAAATTTTATTTCGTTTTCATTTTTTGATACTTTAAGGAAACTAACGAAAGTTTCCACTGTTGTTAAACCTTATAATTAAGGGATATTATAAATTGCAGATCACTTCTTGGATCTCAGGTACATACGGCGAAGCAACGCTAAAATAATTTCAATAACAATTCTTTTAGACGACAAGAAAAAAGGAAATTAAACTGCATTTCCACTTAACATCGTATCAAAGTTGGTAGAAGTAAAAAAATGTTTGTAGATAAGTTTTTCTGCAAAAATTTCTTATTCTTATAAAACAGAATAGTCTATGTACATATTTTTTGACCGTGTGGTATTTTCTCAGAAACCACATTTCATTTGCTAACCTCCTGTAATTTCCACATGGCTCTTTTTTGTCAGATGATTTTCCTGTTTTGCAAAGGAAAATTTGAGACGTACTTTGACCGTGTCAATGAAAGGGCACAATTAAAT